ATTGCTGTATGATACATAGGAAAGTGGTTAAGAGTAAATCCCAAGAGTTCTTATCATAAGAACAAAATTTCCCTTTATTCCTTCTTTGTTTTCTTTTTATTGAATCTATGTGAGAAGATGGATGTTAGCTGAATGTAGTGTGGTAATCATTTCACAATGTATGGAAATCAAACCATAAAAAAAATTAATCCATATTTGGACAAAGTTAACCTGTTTGTAACTCTCTGGGCACCACTTAACAGAAATTGCATAATCTTGCATAATAGCAGATCCGCTGAATACTCTAGAAATTTGCTGATTTAACATTAAATTCTTACAGAGCAATTATTGGGAAAAGATGTTCTGTCAAGATAATAAAATTAACGTTGCTACAGTATTTATATTCTTGAAAAATCTCTGGTGAGAAGATGTATTTGGTGGAGATAATAGATGAAATATGTGTGTGTGTTCTGTGTATGTATGTAACATACACATATGCATATGCCCAAACACACATCCTCCAATGGTATAAAAAAGCCAAAAAGCACCAATCGTTAACTCTTAAAAAAAAAAAAAAAAGCTGTCCTGGAGGAGAAACATTCAACAACTAATGGGCACCCCCAAAACAAATTCGCAATCTGAATTTTCAAAAGACAATGTGAAATTTTACTTTTCTCTCTGGATCAGGTTCCACAGATAGAGATCAGGGAGAGCTGGTAAGAATTCTTACCCTTTGCCGGCTTCTGCCAGTTTTCCCCGGGTTCTTTCTGTAGGTTCTGCAGCCAGGAGGGTGTCCCAGCAAGTTTCATCTTAGTCACCTGACACTGTAGAGGAAGAAAAATAATTTTTCTCTGCTATTTATAGAGTGCCTACCGGAGATCCCCTTTTCTCTAAGGCACCTCATAATTCGATAAGCTTATCTACAATAGGTTTAAAAGTCCTCCACTGTGACCACTCAAATTCTATTATCTTTGATAAGTTTAACCTGCTTGGTCAGCCTTAAAACACAATTTTATTCACCTGAGACCTCACATTGGCTCCATTCCAGCTTAAATAGACCCAGTAAGTTTCTCAGTCAGATCCAGTTCGACTCCGGCAGGTTTCCGGGCCCAGTCAGGGAAGAGAAATGCTCAAGCAGCCTGACCGGCCATAACACAAAGCTGAGAATCCAGGACCCAGGCTCCGAGAGGGCCGTGCCCAGCTCCTCCAGAGGCAGCGAGAAAGCAGCGAGCTCAGGGCTCAGCAGGTACCTTCTCCTGGTTACTTGTTGCTTCTGGGGGGCCCTCGGGTGTCTCCTTTGGTTCCCTCTTCTGAGACCAGAACTATTAAAAGATAAACTGGGGCATATTAAAAATTGTAAGAGATTATTTGAGCAAAAATTGATTCAAGTGGGGCAGTGTCCCATCTAGCAGGTGGAAAGGAGCTCAGTGGAGCGGTACAGAAAGACTTTCGTAGCCAGAAGAGAGCGGGAATGGGCAAGTTTTATTAGGCACAGAAGAGGTTGGTTATTGCAAAGTTAGTTTCCTTAAGAGATGGCGGCGGTCTGTCAGGCCGATTACCTAACTAGTGCTTCTCAAGTGATTCCCGACTGACTAGTTTAAAAGTCCATTTCTGGAAGAGCTGAAACTGTAATTCAGTTAAGTCTCGGTTTGGTGATGTGGGGCTTAGCATAAGCCCCACTTGGGGCCTGTTGTCATCTTTTTAACAAAGGCTCAGGATATTATCCTTGTTCAAAAGAGGGTGGAGGTGACATCTTGGGCATTTGAAATGGCAGGTGCAAAGTGTTCTTTATATTTCATGTATATGTGTGTGGGTGCCAAGTGTTTCTGCAGATGTTGTGGAAAATACAGCTTTTGGTTTNCCACTTGCTCTCTTCTTCCTCTCTCCTCTGCCCCTTCTCCACAGGCTAAAGGCAGAGCTGGAGGAATTCGGGGGGCAGGTCCCCGCCCAGACCCATAGCACCCCAGAGGGCCGGGCTGACAAAGGAGAGGTCGGGAGCCTGGGATGGAAGCAAGGCGGGCAGAGAGGGAGACAGAACGGGCGCGGGTGTCCCCACTGCCCCTCGGAGAGAGAGTTAGTGGGGGGCAGGGCGCCCCCGGGGGCTGAAGGTGACAGGGCAAAGGCAGCTGCGGGTCCCGCAGCCTGAGTGACTCCCGGCTCCCGCAGGCCCGCCCCGAGCTCCTGGGCGCCCGCCACGAGGACAACCTGGAGCCGCGGGTGGAGCTGGCTCCGACGCCCCGTTAGGCCAATGGGACCCACCTAGTCCCCACCTAACTTAAAAGCCCGCCAAAAAATAAAGGCTGTGATTTCGGACCGTCCTCCACCTCCGCGGCTGAATCTGTGCTCCTGGAGTCACCGAGGGTGGTGGGGGGCGTCGCCCCGGCTCCAGGCACTCTGGGCGGGGCCTCGGCCGGACTCCGCCCACCAGGCCCGTGGCGGGCTCTCGCGGAAGCTCAATACTGTGGATGTTCCTGAGCAGCTCAATGAATAAGTAGATGCCAAGGCCACCCCATCCCCACCGCCGCATCTCGGGTTCCTGAACCATCTGTTTTATCAACAAAAGCTAAAGGGAACGTGTTAAAAACCCCGGTCAGGTCCCATGGGTCTCCTGTGGTTCAGAGTAAAATCCCTGTCTCCCAGAGTCCCTGCATTCCCCACGGACTCCCGCTGACCTCGCGGACCTCACAGACCTGCCCGCCTACCTGGGCTCCCCCTCCCACATTCAGTTCCAGCTTTCCACCCTTCTCCAAGCACACTGTCATCTCAGAGCCTTTGTCCTGCTGTGCCCTCATCTGGGACGCTTTCCCCAGGTCTCCCGGCTTCTGCCCTTACCTACCCAGCAGGTGTGTTCTGTATGTCAGCAGCTCAGGGGGCTGGTGTGGGGTACCCAATTCCAAAAAGCACCTTGCACCAGCCTGATGCCACTTAGTAAGCACGTATTGATTAAATAAGCATTTGCTGAATATCTTTTGTAGCAGACACTATTTGTAGGCCCTGGATTTTAAATAGCATGGTCAGAGAGTCTCACTGAGGAAGTGATGTCTGAGTAGGGAGGTGAGGGGGAAGTGAGGGAGAGCGCCCTGTGGGCATCTGGGAGAGGGAACGACACATGCAACGGCTGTGTGTGTGTGTGTGTGTGTGTGTGGAGCACCAGCTTAGCTGTGTTTGAGGAGCATGTGGAGGAGGTCAGTGTTGTGAGGCACAGTGAGGTGAAGAGTGAGGGGTGATGATATGGAAGAATTGTTAGGACCCAGGAAGTTGGGCAGTGTCTAGCTAGTCAGTAGCGAGTTCTGAGAATGGGCCCTGTCTGTCACACAGCAAACACTCAGTAAATGTGAGCTATCACTTATGATGATGATGATTTGTTATTATTCCCAGTCCATCAGTGAGGGAAACTGAGGTGTGTGAATCACTTAGAACAGGGGCTTATAATTTATTAAGTGCTTAATAAATGGTTCATATGATTTATTGTTATTATTATTATTATTATTATTCCTAGGCTACAGATGAGGAACACCAAGGTGAGTATTTCCCTTAGAACAGATTTAATGCAATAAATGCTCAATAAATGGTACCTATTGTTTATTATTCTCATTACTCTCCTTGTTAGTCCCAATTTAGAGATGAGGAAAATTGAGGCAGTGAATGTATACAGTAAACCCACAATAAATGTTGGGTCTCGCCATTGTTGCTATTAATATCCCAAGTGCACAGATGAGGCCCAGGATGCTTTAATCCCTGTATCGTGACTCACACCAGGCCCAGCTGACCCCAGGCCTAGGTTCTGATCTCTGGCTCCACTGACACTGCCCACCTGCCTTAGTCCAGCTACCAGGATTCAAATCCTGGCTTCCCTGCTCATTGACTGGGAAGCTTCCTGCTCAGGTAAATTGTTTAATGTCTCCAAAACTCAATCACCAAATTTGTGAAATGGTGATACCAACTGCACAGCACTTGTAAACCTGGCCATCTCCCCGCTCCTCCGGCAGCCTCCCCTGAACCCTTAAATAAGCTAACCTGCCCTTCATGTGAATGCGGTGCAGGAAATGGTTGGTGCACAGGGTGCCTCTCCCAGTTTGAACTCTCAGAGAGGGGACTGACTCCACCCACTTCATCTCCCTGGTAAAAGGCCTGAAAACAATAAAAATAGACGCCCCTTTCAATTATCGCCTGTGCATTTTTGTGTGTGAAATGGCACCGAAATGCCTTGGATCTGAAGACTACTTGATGATTAAGTGTTAATTGTTTCCCTGTGCTGAGAGATCTTATTCTTAACCTTTTTCCTTCTCCCGTCTGAAATTGATTTATTCCATATTCCTAGAGATCCCCAAATGCCTATACTTTCGGTGATTACTTCTTTACTCTCACACGTTTCCCCTTCTCATCTGCTGCTTAGTTAAGAGCATTGTTAAAGCTATTCCTCGGAAAGGAAAGGACCAAATGGCGTTCCAGTCAGGGAATGTTTTTTAGCCTTTTCATCTTTATTGTGTTCGGATTGTGGGTTTGGAAGGGGAGATAGAAAGACAGGAGGCTGATATTTGGGAATGCTGACTAGAATGTGAGAATGGCAAAAGACTGAGTTGTAGGTTACCGCTGTGTTGTCAGATATGACAGTGACTGGTCACATGTGGCTAGTGAGCACTTAGAATATGGCTGGTCCAAATTGAGGNCTTTCCATATCTCAAGAAGCACCTTCTATTCTTTCAGTCTTCAACCCCTTGCTTCACTTTATTTTCCTTCACAGCAGTTACTGCCACCCTCATTCTCATATATATATATATATATATATATATATATATATATATATATATATATATTCTTTGTTCAATGTCCGTCTCTGCCACCCAGAATGTAGGCCCTGCTTGGGGAAATCTTACAGAGACCAGCATACTGCAGGCACTCAATAAATGCATGTTGATTGACAGTAGCAGAGACAACAGTGCCAACACCCATCCCCCTCCACCTACCTTGGACAGCCAGGCATCTGTCTTCTTTGGCTCAAGCTCTCTTTCCTTCTGCAGAGGGAAGCCTGGAGCCACAGATAGGAGACCTGATTCACCGGATTAATGAGCTTCAGCAAGGTAAACTCGGGGACCCGGCCAGCTGGCCAGGAAGGACCTGAATACCTTCACTCCCTCACCTGTAAAAGCCAGCCCCCTCCAGGTTGTTTGAAGATGAGCAGGCCGTGTCACAATCTGGGAGAGAATGGCAAGGCTAGAGGCTGCACTCACACAGTGTCCTTCTTCCCTTCACTGGCCCAGCAAAGAAGAAATCCAGTGAGGAGCTGGGAGAAGCCCAAGATCTCTGGGAGGCCTTGCGCAGGGAACTGGACTCCTGTAAGTGAGAGCCAAAGAGGGACCAGAGATCCCACAGCCGCTGCTGCTGTTCCTGTGCACACCTCAGGGTCCTTGCAGGGGCTGCTCTCTCTACCCGCAGTGCTCTTATCCTCTCTAATCTAGATTGCCTCTGGCTATCTCAAGTCACCTTTTAGCTCTCAGCTCAGACTTCACCCTACCTAATGGTCCCGTGTGAAAATAGAATACCACCTTCTTTCTGTCACTCTCACCCTCCTGCTTGATTTGTTTCTTCACAGCCTTTATTTCCATGTGACATGGTGCATTTACTTCTTTCTAGTCATCTCTCCCCTCAGTATAAACCTTGTGCATTTGGCAGGGTCTCTGCTCCTTTGGCATTTGCAGGGAACGTGGGCAGCGAGGGGCAGAAGCTGAATCAGCATGGTCCCCAGAAGGAGATGGGTGCAGGGTGGCAAGAACACACCCCCTGCCCTGGGGCTGTACTAGACTTTCTGTGTGACCTTGGACCTGCCCTGGGCATGAAGTTGCAGTGGGGACACAGGATGTTGTCCTTCCTTGGAGGCTCAAATTGTCACTGTGTTTTCCAGTGAATGGAGAGAAAGTGCACCTAGAGGAGGTCTTGAGCAAAAAGCAAGGTCTGTGTTTTGTTTTATTTACCATCTGATCTGCCTTCATTATTCCACCCCATCACCCCACAAAAGCCCACGGTCCCCAGAACAGCCCGAAGAACCCCACTGAAACCTGAGTCAGGGTGCTTCCCTCCACTCACATCTCTCCCTTGCCTGCTGCTTAACTTGAAGTAAACACTAAAGCCAGTGCCCCCCGATGCCCATCACCCCTCCCCAAGCCTGACTCCCCAAGAGCTCTCACAGGGCCCTCTGGCTCGTCTCCCTACAGAGGCGCTGAGGATCCTCCACTGCCAAACGAAGGAAAGCGAGGCTCAGAGGTAAGAGGCCCTGCCCAGCACTTCCCCACGTTAGTCCCCAGCCTGAAAGAGGAGGGAGTGAGAGACAGGGAAATAAATCTGGGACACACACTCCTCATTTCCTCTTTCTAGAAAATAGACTAGCTAGACAAGAGACTCCCATGTTCATCTCTGATATTACATGGTGCTATGAAGATTAACTTACTCATTTAATCATTCATTGCTACTTTCTTTATAAATTTCATCTACTGGTGTTATTCTAAGTCTTTCCCTATTGGTTAGCTAGCTCTTCTGCCACCCATTCAATGATCTGTCTGCTCATTTAGGCCCTCAGTCATCCATCTACCCACCCATCCACCCACTCAGCCATTCATCCATTCATCCATCAATACATCTGTCCTACTATCCAACCCTCATCCAGTCAGCCAGTCAGACATTATCTCTCCAGCCTCTTATGTAATCATCTTTCATCCATCCAATCATTCATGCCTCTTCTCTCCATCTTTCCAACCATCTAGCTCTTCATTTACTCACCCAGTCATCCACCCAGACATCCATCCATCTCTCCAGCAATCTTTTTATTTCTCTATCTGGCCATCATCCCCCCACTCTTCATTTCTCTAACCAGCCATCATCTCTTCATCCAACCATTTACCCATCCAATTAGCTGTCCTTCCAACCATCTATCTGTCCATCTCTCCATCGTTTGAACCTTTACTTAACACGTTCTTGTGGCCAGAGGTCTCATACTCTGGTGCACCATGATTTTAATTGTGTGGGAAAACGTAGTGGATAGTTAAAGTGTGTGTATGCTTAACTACGCCACACACACACACACACACACACACACACACACACACACACACGCAGTCTGATAAGCAGTTGATGTTCATTTATCAACCTAATCCTCACAATGATAACTAAAGGGCTAATGTCACCCTCCCATCATTACCACCATTTTACATATAAGGAAACAGAGACCCAGAGAGATTAAGTAACTTGTCCAGGCTCACAGTGGAATAGCAGATCCAAGCTTTAAGCCAGGACTTTAGAATCTATGAAGCTGAACTACTTCTCCCCTCACAAAGTTTTCTTGGGGGGGTGCATGGTTTGATGGGGGACAGGATGGATAGGACGATGGGCTCGACAGAGGCCCATAAAGTTTCACGTTCAATCAGTAGAAGAAAGGAAAATGATGAAGGTTACGAACAGGCCCCCAGACCCACTCCTGCAGGAGGAAGTGGGGGATCATTCAGAGAATATGGCTGAGGCTGTCTTTCTTTCTCTTCCCTGGAAGCACATGTTGCATGAGTACATGGACCAAATTTCTACCCATAATTCTCAGATTGAAGAGAGTTGTAAACAGAGGAACCTGGGGTAACCACTGGGGTCGCCCCGGGTCTAGGACCTGGTGTGGCACGGGGTGGGGAATGGGAGTGGAACTTGCATCAGGGAGAGTTTGTTGGAAGAGGAGCTGCTGGAACCCAGGCTTGGAGAATAAAGCCCAGAAAGGGGCTCCTAGCAGAGGGACCATCAGGCAAAGGTCTAAAGTCTGTGCATGAGGAAGCCCCAGACTGAACCAGGCTGGATGTTGGTCCTAGCAGGTGTTCTCTCATTCCTGGGGGTGGGCCTCTAGGTTGCATGACCACGAACAGCTGGAGGATTTGATGGGCCAGCACAAGGACCTCTGGGAATTCCAGGTGAGCCTTCTTCATTGCCTCTAACCAAAGCCCCTCCTCTCCTGGCCTCAGTGTCTCTGCTGGTTGCTCAGGTCCACCTACTGCTCAGGCCCAAGTCCATGGGAAAGCCCTTGACTCCTTTCTTCCTCTCACCCATCCACTCAACCCTTCAGCTTTTATCTTAAATCTGGCCCCCTCTCACCATTCCCCACTGCCACATCATTGCCCGGACTGGTGCAGTAGCCATTGCTGATCCTGCTTCCCTCCTGCTCACCCAGAGTGCTCACCTTGCGGTGGCAAATGGGAACCCTGAAAAAGCCATGGTCAAGCCTTTCCTTCCTTCAGCTAATGGCGCCGGATGCATCCCACAGCATTCAGGCAGGAGGAGACAGGAGGGAATACAAGGGGCCAAGTATTTGCTGTCCCCACGATGGCTGGGAACAGAGGGAGTCATACCCAGACTCTAAACAAGAAAATAAGCAGGTATCTGGGTGCAAATGTTCCTGGCAGAAGGAAAGGCCAGTGCAAAGGCCCTGAGGCTGAACTGTGCCTGGGGCAGTTGAAGAGCAAAGGGGAGGGTGAGCAGGGAAGATGAAAGTGGGAAGAGATGAGATTTGAGAGGTACACGAGGACATGGGGAGCGATTGGGGGGAAATGCATCTCCAACAGCACCCAGCCAGAGCAGAAACTGCACATTGAGTTAATAGTTAAATGAATGAATGAATGACCTAATTCAGGTAAGGACTTTCTGAGAGGGGAGAAGGAGGAGGGGGCCAGGAGGACAGTGAGACGGACAGGCCTCTTCTCTCTCCTCTCAGATGCTGGAGCAGCGACTGGCTTGGGAGATCCGTGCCCTGGAGAGCAGCATGGCGCAACTGCTCACTGAAGGTGGGACTCCCGCNGGGGGGCCCTCTGGCATCCCAAGCCAGCTCTTAACCAATGCGCCACTCGGCCGGCCCCGATTTAAACTTTTGACTCAAGTTCTTAAAATTTAGGAAATAGAGCCTGGATAGCTATGAGATTATAAAAGTCCTGAATATCCATTAGAAAAACCACAGGATGGGGGTGAAAAAGAAGGCCAGGCCATGAAGAAGGTTTCAGAGGTCCCTGCTGGCCCAAGGACAGTTATCTGTAGTGTCCAACATCGCACTGAAAATGACTTGCTTTTAAAAGGCAGAGGGCTTCAGGGGGGAGTGGGGTGGGGCAGTGGAGGCGAGGGCCTTCCCCATTTCATTTTGGGTAGGGCTCTTAATTCACCCCTAGGACATCTCTCAACTTAGAGAATACTTCGGCCCTCAACAGCGCCTCAAATCTGCTATGGCTTTGCAGCGCAGCAGCAGGAATGTTTAATACATAATAGATAACGCTTTAACCCAAAATAAAATAAAATAAAGATCCTTACAACCCCCCCCCCCACACACACACACGCTGATTCCTAAAGTTAACCCGTTACTTGTGCTGTTAATACTTGACTAATACTTCATTGGAAACATAGATCCAAAAGACTGAATCTTTACCCCCAAACGAACACAGAATAAAATGGGTAACTTGAGGTGCAGGGCATACAGTTTAGGTCAGCGCACATAGGAGGAGACAGGGGAAGAGCGAAGCTGGGTGACAGACACATTCAGTAGAGGCAGATGTTTATACAAAGAGTGTAGGGGACAACATAAGCTGGTAACTGCAATATGGCCTCAGGGATAGAAAAGACAGTCTGGGGAATCGAATCAATAATGTTGTAAAAATTTTTTAGTGGGCCAGATGGACTCATGTCTTGTTAGGGAGACCACTTCACGGATGGTGTAGAGGCCTGACCACTGCACTGTACATCTGAAGCTGCCGTTGAATAATATTATATGTCAACTGTAACTTAATACATATATAGTCATGGGATGTGGAGTAGAGTGTGGGAATGGAGTCAATGGAATTGTAATAGATATGTATGATATTGGGGATGGGGAGCAGTGGATGGGAGGAGGGGGGTTGTCACTTTGTGAGGGGTGAAAAGGATAAGTATTACTTTGTTTTGTACACCTGTAACTAAAAAAAAATAAAAGTAGGGGAACATCAGGAAAAGCTCTGTACAGATTCGCGTGTGCGCGTCTCGGGGCGCCAGATCCCCCCCATGGCACATGGAAGAACAGGGAGCCCAGGGAGGAGGCCGTTCCTGCCATTCTACTTTTAGAAGCGCCACGTCAAAAACAAGAGTGGCATTTGGTGGGATGATGCCTGGGTGCCCAGTGTCAGCGTAGGCATAGTCTGGGGAGATAGTCAGTTTCTTACCCCGACCCACACTCATCTGGGCAACTCCTTCCCAGCCTTCCAAACACTTGTTTGTTGATTTAGTGAAGATAGCCATTGTGACAAGCACGAGGAGGTGATAGCTCACTGTGGTTTTAATTTGCATTCCCCTGATGATTAGTGATGTTGAACATCTTTCCATATGTCTGTTGGCCATCTGTTGGGAGTATATAAGTATATGTGAAAGGACTGTCATTATAAGTACTCCCAACTGAGATAAAATGCAAAATTTATGACCTTTAAGTTTACTATATAAATGTGTTTTTAATGGCTTTAATTAAGGTAGGACATAACACATTTTAAAAAATGATTATTCCATGTAAGTACCACAAACCCAAGTAAAATTTTTTTAGGATTCTAGAGGAAAGTTAAAGAATGTCAAATTAAAATTTAAAACAACATAAGTAAATGTATTACTAATATAGTCTTATTCTAAGTATACTCCTAACAGCAACAGTCATTAATATTTCTCTGTCGAATGGTATCCTGAACCTTATGTCAGAATCTGTGCCTAACTAACCCTCCTCTTATCTCCATGACAACAATAGGAGGTATTTGTTGCACTCCCTGGTTTGACCCACGGTGCAAGTGAGATGTAGAGAAATTAAGTAACTTGTGCAAAGTCTTGTAAACAATAACAGCGTAATTAGAATTCATGATAAGTTCTCAAGTCAAAATTGTAAGGAACAGATTCTTTCCACTTAGTGTGTATATTAAGGAAAGAGTTTATTAGAAATAGCTGTACTTATGGCCTCAATGCAGGTACTGCTGTCAAGAGCCATTTTAGACATACAAAAGCAGCATACATAGATAGCATACCAGACTGGGAGCAGAGGTAGAGATGGGAACAAGCAAAATACGGTCCTTATGAACATGTTGTCTGGGAGATCAATAGAGAGCAGGTGGATGTTAACGCCAAGAATCTGGAGAAAATTATTATCAGCAAAATGCTACAATTTTTGCAAAGGGACACTAAGAAAAACAATTACAGTTGACCCTTGAATACCATGGATTTCAACTGCATGGGCCCACTTATCTGTGGATTATTTTCAATACATACATAAAATACTGTAAATGTATTTTATGATTTTTTTTTAAAAGATTTTCTTGGGGAATTGAGGGAGGAAACAGCATTGGGGAATCGGGGAAGGGGAACAGACAAGTTTTTGTCCTTTTGTTCTTCAGTCTAGTTGTGGAAGATGTCGCTTCACTGGCCCATGCTGGTATTGTGATCATTGCGCTCTTCCCAGCTGAGGCAGACTGGTCGCTGGCCCTTGGATGGCCACTCACGGTGGCTCACGCTGGCTGCCAGCCACTCATGGTAGCTTACAGCAGCCCACTGCAGCCCCACTGCAGCCTATGCCATCGCTGGGTGACTCACGGCACCCCAGCTCCAGGTCGAGCTGTTTTTCACTATCTTAGCAGTAGAGGCCGCAGCGTCACTGGCCCATGTGGGATCCTAACCAGGGCCCTGCTGCTCAGAGCTGGTGTCCCAAGTCAACTCTTAATCAACGCGCCACTCAGCTGGCGTCATCTCTTATGATATTCTTAATAAAATTTTTTCTCTCTAGCTTACTTTATAGTAAGAATGCATTTGCAGCAAATTGGATGGACCTAGAGGGTATTATGCTAAGTGAAATAAGTCAGACAGAGAAAGACAAATACCATATGAACTCCCTTAAATGTGGAATCTGAAGAACAAAATAAACAAAACAGAAACAGGCTCATAGATAAAGAGAACAAGCTGATGGTTTCCAGATGGGAGACCGTTTGGGGGACTGAGTGAAAAAGGTGAAGGGATTAAGAAGTACAAATTGGGGGCCGGCCGAGTGGCGCGTTGGTTAAGAGCTGGCTTGGGACGCCAGAAGGTCCCGGTTCGGATCCCACATATGAGGGCCAGTGACACTGCCCTCTACAGCTAAGATGCTGAACAACAGCTCANCTATACATTCATTATATATCCACAATCTTATTCTCAAAATAATAATTTAAAAGGTAGATGTGGCAGAAACTATGAGGTTTCCCTTGTAGTAGGAAGGATTCTGGAATGACCCTATGACCCAAAGCCACCTGTAATCCATCCTCTTGATTAGGGGGCAGGACCTATAATTAGGATGGGAGAGCACACTGGGATTACACTTTCAGTCTGGCCCAGCTGACCTCAAGAAAGGGAGATGCGCCTCAGTGGGTCTGTCCTATTCCCATGCGCCTTCACAGGGACTGGGCACTTCCGGACCAAAGAGATTTAAGGCCTGAGAAAAATTCAACACAAGGGGTGTCTTCCTTGCTTGCTTTGAAGCTAGACAGGGACATATGACAAGGAGTGAGGCTGCTCCTATAAGCTGAGGGTGACACCCAGCTGACAACCCGCAACAGAGCTTTTCTGTTTCATTTGCATTATTAGTTCCTCCATCAGGTTTGGTAAAGGCCTGCTAATAAATATTTCAGGCTTTGCAGCCACATACACTCTGTCTTGGTCACATATTTTCTTCCTCCCTTTCCCTCTTCCTTTCCTCCTACCCCCTTCCTTCCTTCTATACTTAAAAATGTAAAAAAAAAATCGGACTGAACCAAAGCAGGTTGTGGGCTGGTTTGCCAGCTCCTGGTGTAGACAATTAAACAATAAATTAAGGCCTGGCTGCAGTCTTTACCAATGTCTGCAGGGTAAATATACCCACCATGATTGATTTCAAGCTACCAACATGAATTGTCTTCACTGTCAGGAAAAGATACGCAGTAGCATACCATTATATAGTGTTTCCATGCATAAACAGTGGGAGTAAATGACCATAAGAGTAAAGATAGTAGTAAAATACAATGATATAATTAAAGAGGGTTGATTTTCGAGTAATTGCTGCCATTGTTTTTAGTATAATTTGTTTAATTATGAATTTCTGTAATTTAACTTTTACTAAAGGCTGTGTTTAATCACCAACTCATGTAATTCCTGAGAAGTTAACAGCTGGCTCTCGGGAGCTGCTATCAGCCACTATCAGCCACCTTCTGCACAAACCTGCCCATAACCTTTAAAAAGAGAGGTATGTGCTCACTCCATTTTCCCCTCCTGTCAGCTGGAATGTGAACCCAGCGTGCACACAGTAGGTTCTCAAAATTATTAAATAAGAAATGTAAGCACCTTATAGGACCAGGTTAGGCGGTCAGATACGTAAGTTAAGATAGCTAAAAGTCTGCATAGAAGTTGTAGAAAGTATAATCCAAGGCCGTAGTTCTCCAGGTGTGGTCCTCTGAGTGCCAGTTGCAGAAGTACCTGGAACCCTGTTATAGATGCACAATTTCAGCTCCTCCCACCCACAGAACCAGAGGCCCTGGGGGTGGGGTTTCGCACACTGTGCTTTCCAGGCTCCTCTGTGAAGCTCACTCAAACTTAAGAGCCACTAATGGAGTGATTAGTTTCTAGTTCCTAACAAAAAATTGCCAAGTTAATTTATTCTGAAGTTAACTTCCATTCACTTTTCCAAACAGGCGGACAGTGCATGATGGACTAAAACTATTAGAAATCAAAAGAAAATAACTCCAATTCCCAAATCCCATATTATAATTTTGTTTTAACATTTGAAAGATTTTTT